TTTTGCATTGTTTTTGTTCTGGTCTGTTTCTGCTTATCACAAATACTTGTTGGATCAGTAAGGGTACAGTGGGAGCAGGAAAGATCAAGTGCTGGCTTTTCTATTTTTTTCTCTTTTTATTCACAATCATTTTGAAGCTTTGGCACTCTCTGTCTTAAAGTTACCTTAAAGGCTTAAGGTATGGTTTCATGTGGAATTTGCTTTTTCCTTCTTGTTGCCTATGGTTTGGGGAGGAAATAGTAGGAAGTAGATATCTATGCATTTGCTATTTTCTTTAGCTCTTAGGAGTTTTTATATTACTACATTCCTTTTTTTTATAGTCTCTTAGGTATAAACTATAGAACAAGTGAATTAGGGGTAATTTGGAGGGTGAACATAATTAACCCTTTTCTATTGTTAAAGGTTACAGATGAGGCAATTTAAAAAGAAATGGAAATATGATTTAGATTCAGCCTTGAATGAAATAGAGGTATGACACTTATTTTTTTAAATGAATTGCTGGGATCTCTGAAAACCAATAATAACAAACTTTGAATAGTGGGAAAAGTTTTTTAAATGCTGTTGTTATACAGAGAAAATGCTCAAGGAAAAGAAGTCTAGTATTTTTTTAATACTTTGAAATGCAAACAATTTCTAGAGTTATGGACTATTCTAGAAATAATTGTTCAGTTTCAAAATTAACATATTAAGGTATAATAATCTAAGGCTTATTAGCCTCTAATTCTTGTCACTGGACAGACTCAGTGCACAAGAAAGTTGGCTTTCTTGTCATAATGCATGGATGACTGCAGTATGTGAAATGATAGCAAAAAGCCACGGTCAGGGTGCCCTCTCCAGGCATTTGGAGTATTAAAAATAGAGAACTTTCAGGATGATTTTACTGTTTAGTTTAAGATCATTTTTGTACTCATCTAGTAATTGTTGGTCTAGTCTTAATTAGCATTTATATCCTTAAAATAATCTTTTGTTGGTGTGGAAAACTATTCCTTTGTTTACAATAGAAAATAATAAGAAGATGGTAAGTTTACTGAAATTTATTTTATAGTCCCTTTCATACAAGAAATGTAATGCCCAAAATGACATTTGGGCCCCAAATTATAAACGGGGCCAAATAATAGCAAAATGCAATCTCTAAAAGTAGTAAAATAATGTATTTCTGTAGAGACAGCTCAAATCATATAGCTAATCATCTGTTTTCCATAAAATCTTTCTCACTGTCTAGTTCAGGTTTGGGGGTGACATCATTAAGTACATTAGGAAAAGATTATTAAAACAAATGTACATTGCCATCCAGAAATTATAGAGACTATGCTATAGTCAGAAACACAAATTGTACAATAGCAATTTATTGATGGTGTAACACTGTCAGTAAGTTTATAACATCTACAGAGATTATGTTATTAATTTCTATATATCTAATGCCTACATGTGCCTATTCCATAATGTTTTTATAAATGACATCTTTCTTTCTTTTTTCTTGTTTTGTCTCTAATAATTCCGATAGCATTGTAAAGAAAAAGGTGACTGGACCAAACTGGGAAACTTATACATTAACATAAAAATGGGCTGTGAAAACTTTGCAGATTTCCAGAGATTTTGTGCTTGTATTGCTGAAACACTAACAAAAGACTGTAAAGAAGAGAGACCAGGTGTTCCATTTTGTGAATTTGCTGAAACAGGTAAAATGTCCCTGTTTGGGTATACGTATTGTGTGTATTAGGGTGGTGCAGTGTTTTACCTGGAATGTAAAGTTCTTACTATTTTCCCATGTTGGGGATAAGTTAATATTGCAGATTTCAAATACTTCTCCTTCTCTTTATAAATCTTTCATCTTTTTGTTATCAAGTTAGATTACAATGATGTAAGGTCAAGAATTGTTTTAATACCTCATGTTTCATGTTCTTATTTGTATTTTCATTCAGACTGGTAAAACTATTGCTAGCAAATTATACTGGAGCACTTGAATTATTGAATCATTAAAGTTGTTACTACCTTCACTACTACAAGTCAACAAAATTCATATGTTTTTGAGACTTTTTTTTTTTTGGCATGAGCTCTTCACTGCTATATTTTTTATCAGAGGTCAGCAGACCTTTTCTGCAAAGGGCCAGGAGTAAATATTTTAGGCTTGGGGCGCCTGGGTGGCTCAGTCGTTAAGCGTCTGCTTTCGGCTCAGGTCATGATCCCAGGGTCCTGGGATCGAGCTCCGCATCGGGCTCCCTGCTCTGCGGGAAGCCTGCTTCTCCCTCTCCCGCTCCCCCTGCTTATGTTCCCTCTCTCGCTGTGTCTCTCCCTGTCAAATAAATAAATAAAATCTTTAAAAAAATATATTTTAGGCTTCACACAATCACATATGATCACACAATCACATAGTTTTCTTTTCCTTTCAAAGAACCCTTTAAAAATAGGGGAACCATTCTTAGCTCACAAGCTATACAAAAACAGGCCACAGGCCAGAGTTGTCCTATAGGCTGTGGTTTGTTTGCCAACACCTGGTCTATGTTCTAGTATCAATAATTTCATATTAATTTGCCTTTGCTGCCATTTTAAATGACTTTTTCACTTTTTTCCATATGCCTACTTTGTGTTTCAGTTAGCAAAGATCCACAAAATAGTGAAGTAGATAAAACTTCGCTGGGAAGAATCGGAATCAGTGCTATGTACTTCTATCACAAGCTGTTGCAGTGGTCCAAGGTATGTCATTAAATTTTTGTTTGGGCTTGGTACAGAGAGTGTTAATTTAAAAATTTTTTTAACAGAATATAGTTAACCCTGCAAATTAGAAATTTGCTAATAATTGTTATAAGTGGCAAAATGAGTCCCAGACTAGCAAGGTGTAGTGTATTAGGCAAATGTGGAAAGGCAGTAGCATGAGACTGGCTACCCTGAAGAAGTATCAGAAGTGTGCTAAGTATCATATTTATTTGGAGCAACTTTCAATACAGACTTTTGCTACCTCTTAAGTATTGATAACATTATAATTTTGCAAAAGTTCCAGACACCTTTTTAAGATGAACCCAGGGAACTCACAATTAACAGAACTCCTTAAAAATCACCTCCTAGAATGCTCTGGAACACTATATACCATATATCTTGATATCTACCTTTGAGGTTTAGCTCACCATAGAAGCGGTCTAGTTCTTCTGGACCATACTGAACTACCATTCTTTAGATTTCCCTGCGGTGGCTGGTGGTTACAGATTCAATAAAGTGAAATAAAATGAGGACAGGAAAATCTAAAATAGGAAGGAAGTGCTGAGGGATGAATGGAGCAGTTGAGAGTGTGGTCAGTACTGAATCAGCTATTATGATGTATCTTTTGTTACTTCCTTCTTCTTATAAAAAGTTATTTCATAACTGAATATGTTCAATAACATTTAAGTACATGGTCACTCATACATATACAAATTCATGGATTTTTTTTTTTTTTACTAAAAAAAAAATAACAGCAACAGAATCCTTGTGTATAAGGTCTCCAGTCTCCAAGGTCTTCAAGAGGTTAGCATTCACTGTGCAGTAGGCCTGGGATGGGCAGAATATACCTTGTCCCTGGTCTCACAGTCTAGCTTAAGGTTCATCATAGCATTAATTTCTTGGATATTTAATGCTTGAGAAATTGAGGACTACATAAACTATTTTTGACAAAGATTGATTTTGCTGAAATTTTAGGGTATATTTTAATTTTATTTGTTGTGATTATTTCTTAAGAGGCTGGTGAGTTTGTGCCTGTATTGTAATTTAAAATTTTCACTATCTTATTTGGAATGAATATTTTATTTTACTTAGTATGAATTTTTTTAGTGAAACATATTCCATTTGAACACAAAAGTAAAACCACTGAAAATAAGCTAGAGCTATCTCCTTAAAAATGCATTCATTTCTATAATCAACTTAAAAGTACCTTGACATCACAATATGCGTCTGACTCAAATAGTATAGAACATAATATAAAACAAGGATCCACAAACTAAGGGCCCAGTCTGACCCACAGTCTGTTTTTGTACATCTCAAGAGCTGAGAATGTTTTTTACATTTTTAAAGAGCTAGAAAATAAAAACAGCAACAACCAGAAAGAATGTGCAGCTGACCAAATGTGGCCTGCAGAGCCTAAGTGTTTACTGTCTGGCTAATTATAGAAAAGGTTTGCTGACCCCTTATGTAAAATAATACTATATGTCTAATTTCTGATGTCCAAACTGGAGATATAGACTATGTGAAACAATTATCTGTTGAATCAAAAAAACAATTTTCAGCCAGCAGTTTTATTCTTTTCTTTTCCCCACTATCATTATGTAAATTTGACAAAACATGATCTTGATTTTCACTGTCTCTCTCTCTTGGCTCTTAGGGTAATCAACAGAAGTACCAAAATGTATAGTTAGTAATTTTCCACATTAGGGCAAGAAATCCTTTTTCCAAATGAAATCTTTAGGGGAAGCACAAGTATAAAAACACTTGAAAAGGTGGGTCAGCAGGGTGAGGATTAATACGAGGCAAAGCCCTGCTTCCTCGCCTTCCCTGTCTGTCTCTGTGGCTAAGCAGGAGGGAGCTTAAGGAAAGAGTCTTTTGAGAACCATCTGTCTAGAAGGATGATTCAAATTGGGTAATTGACTTCTATATAATTACTGATGTTATTTATATCTCTGTGATACTCTAAATGAATGATACTCAATTAGTGTTCTTTATTTTTACTCTAGGGAAGGAAAGTCTTAGATAAACTATATGAATTAAAAATACATTTTACAAGTTTAAAGGGACTTACAGGGCCCGAGAAGCTAGCACCAAGATGTCAAATTGTAAATATTGCAGCAGAAATTTTTCTAAAAAGTGGAAGCCTAGATGGTGCCATTTGGGTATTGAGGGGTAAGTTATGATATATGCAAGCATAACATAATTTGTTATTATAAATTCTTGTGTGTGCAATTACATTACATTGATGTTGAATTGTGGGTGGTAATTTGGCCTAGTAAACCTTAGTGATCATGTAGGTAGGTAGGTGGTTATTGTGTAAAATGGAAGGAGAAAGTTAACCTCATTTTTTTTTTAAGATTTTATTTATTTCTTCAAGAGAGAGATAGCGAGAGAAGGCACGAGCTGGGGGCAGGGGCAGGGGGGACAGGAAGAAACAGAGCAGGGAACCAGATGCAGGACTTGATCCCAGGACCCTGGGATCACTACCTGAGCCAAAGGCAGACGCTTAACCAACTGAGCCACCCAGGCGCCCAAAAGTTAACCTAACTTTAAAGAAAAAATTGTATGACCTTTTATTGAAAAGCTAGTTCTTACTTTGGCCTAGGGACCATACAAAAATACTTTACCTGGATTATCTCAGTTCATCTTCATAGAAACCCTCTGAGTTTAAAATTAGTACAACCCCCCCCTTTTTTTTAATAAAAAACGTCACAGACATCAGGCAACTTGCCTGATGGAAGTTTTCCTTCCATTTCTATTTTTTGGAACAGCTTCAGTAGAATAGATATGATTTCTTCTTTCAATGTTTGGTAGAATTCCCTGGGAAGCCATCTGGCCCTGGACTCTTGTTTTCTGGGAGGTTTTTAATTAATGCTTCAATTTCCTTGCTGGTTATTGGTATGTTCAGATTGTCTATTTCTTCCTGTTTCAGTCTTGGTAGTTTATAAATGTCCAGGAATGCATCCATTTCTTCCAGATTGCCTAGTTTGTTGGCATATAGCTGCTGGTAATAAGTTCTAATAATTGTCTTTATTTCTTTGGTATTGGTCGCAATTTCTCCCCTTTCATTCATGGTTTTATTAATTTGGGTCCTTTCTTTTTTCTTTTGCATAAGTCTGGCCAGAGGTTTATCGATCTTATTAATTCTTTCAAAGAACCAGCTTCTAGTTCCGTTGATCTGTTTTGTTCTTCTAGTTTCTATTTCATTGATTTCTGCTCTAATCTTTATTATTTCTCTTCTCCTGCTTGGTTTAGGCTTTATTTGCTGTTCTTTCTCCAGGTCATTTAGGTGTAAGGTTAGCTTGTGTATTTGAGACTTTTCTAATTTTTTGAGGAAGTCTTGTATTGCTATATAGTTTCCTCTTAGGACCAGCTTTGCTGCATCCCAAAGGTTTTGAACAGTTGTGTTTTCATTTCATTTGTTTCCATGAATTTTTAAAATTCTTCTTTAATTTTCTGGTTGACCCATTCATTGTTTAATAGGATGCTCTTTAACCTCCAAGTGTTTGAATTCTTCAGCTTCCTTCCTTTATATCAGCTTATCTTCTGGATCACTAATTCGTTCTTCTGCCTCATTTACCCTGGCTGTTAGAGTATCCAGTTTAGACTGTATCTCATTCATAGCATTTTTAAATTCGGCCTGATTAGATCTCATTTCTGCCCTTAGAGAGTCTGTATTGTCATTAATCCTTTTCTCAAGCCTAACTATTGACTTCATGATTGCTACCCTGAAGTTCATCTCTGACATCTTGCTTATATCCATAGCCATTAGATCTGTGGCAGATGACATTATCTCTGGTTCTTTTCTTTGTTGGGAGTTCCTCCTTCTAGTCATTCTGTTGTGGGATGGTTGAGAGAATGTACAGAATCCAAAACACCAACCACTACGTAAGCAAAATGCACCTTAGAAGAAATCTGAAGTGGTCGAAAGCTACCACAGAGACGCCACCAAAGCCAAGATGATCCAAAACGATAAAAACGAAAGAAAGAAAAAAGAAAAGAGAAAAAAAAATGAGTGGGTACGGAGTGAGGAGGATGATTATAATCTCTCAGGGTGGACACAGCAGGGTGATTTGCCCGTTCCTGCTTGATTTTCAGTCTGTGTGTTAGAAGACACTATATCCCAAAATTGGAAAGAAATCAGAACTTATGTATATATCAAGATAAAATTGAGTAGAATGAAAAACAGTTTAGTATGGGGCATAAAGCTATGAAAACATATATGTGAAAAAAAAAGTTAAGAGACTTAAAAACATAGGTTGTGAAATAAGAATCTATTTGAAACAAGAGCAGGGTTAAAAAAAAAAAAGAAGAAAGGAAACTAAAAAAGAAATGTAAATTTTAGCCTGAAGTATAAGTGAGTTGTGAGGGAACAACTGGAGCTTCCTATATTATTTTCCCCTGGTGCTGGAGTTTTACAGTCCTGTGGGAAATAAGCTTATCATTCACCTGTTCTTCCAGTCTGTCTTCTGGGGGAGGGGCCTGCTGCTCAGCTTCTCAGGTGTCTTTGCCTGGGTGGGGTTGCCCCACCCCTTGTCAGGGGACTGGGCTTAATGTGAGCTGGTGGGCTACGGGGCTTTTGTTCCCTGGCATCTTTCCACTTCTCTTCAGAGGGGCAGAGAAAACATGGCCATGTGGGACTCAGGCCCATAGCCCCAAAATCGTGCCTCCCCCCCCGCCCCAAGCTCAACAGATCCTCCAGGTCAGTCTGTCTCCACTGCTCCACAGACTCGCGCAGTTTGTGCCCCTGACACCTCTCCACCTCTCCGGGGGGAGTCACAGGGACCCGCGAGCATCTCTGTGCCTTGTGCCTCCGCAACTGCCCACGGCCTTGGGCTCGTGTGTGTGCACCATGTTTCAAAGCTCCTAGGGTCATGCTGGGTGCCACCCCAGCATCTCTTGGGCCACACAGCGCTGAGAGCTGTCCCTGTCGTGGGTGCAAGCTGTTCTTTTTTTTTTTTCTTTTATAAATGTTTTATTTCTTTTTTTTAATTTATTTTCTTATGTTAATCACCATACATTATATCATTAGTTTTGTTTTTTTTTTTTTTAGTGTTCCATGATTCATTGCGTATAACACAAAGTGCTCCATGCAATACGTGCCCTCTTAAATATCCATCAGCAGGCTAACCCATCCCCCAACCCCCTCCCCTCTAGAACCCTGTTTGTTTCTCAGAGTCCATAGTCTCTCATGGTTCATCTCCCCCTCCGATTACCCCCTTTCATTTATCCCTTCCTGCTATCTTTTTTTTTTTTTAACATATAATGTATTATTTCTTTCAGAGGTACAG